GGCCCAGACGCGTGTGGGGGGGGGGGGGGGGTTAGTTGCCAAGAAGGGCTCCTTAGAGTCGTGCGTGTCGTGCCACCACCTACGGCTGAGGACAGCTGCCGCCACAGCAAAGCCGATTCGTCGCCTTGGGGTCCGCAACACCCCCGCGCGGGCGGAGCCACCAGGGGGCCACGTGGGCCGGAGGGGGGCCGCGGCCCCTTTAAAAGTGAGAGCGGCGAGCGGTTGGTGCGCGGCACGCCGGGTAGGGGAGGCGGCGCCGGCCAATCAGGGCGCGTTCGGAATATGTTCTTCTGCTCCCCGCGTATTTTTTTTGCAACGGCGCATTTCGCCTCCCCTGAACCTCCGGCGCTAACCTCTCTTTGCAAAGTCGCCGCTTCGCCGCTTGGGGCTGTTTGGAGCTTTGGGGGAGGGCCGTGTGCGTGTCGTGCCGCCACAGCAAAGCCGATTCGTCGCCTTGGGGTCCGCAACACCCCCGTGCGGGCGGAGCCACCAGGGGGCCACGTGGGCCGGAGGGGGGCCGCGGCCCCTTTAAAAGTGAGAGCGGCGAGCGGTTGGTGCGCGGCACGCCGGGTAGGGGAGGCGGCGCCGGCCAATCAGGGCGCGTTCGGAAGCTTCCCTTTGGCTACATAGTTGAAAGAAACCGACCAGAAAGTGAATGGGTGAGTCGGGGGGGGGGGGGGGGTGCCTCCTTCTCGGGAGGCCGCGGAGGCAGGGGGTAGGGTTGGGTCTGTGCTGGAAGTGGGGCGAGGCTTGACTTGGGGACTTCTACGCAAATGGAAGTGCTGGGGACCAGGCTCTCGGACTTGGGGGACTCCATTAGGGTTGCCAAACTCCAGGTGGTGGCTGGAGATCTCCCGGGATGACAACCGAGGCTCCCTCTAAGCTGTGGAGTCTCGTGAGCAAAAAATCTACATTGTGAGCTACTGGCATTAAAGTTGTGAGCAAACGTTTTGGATACTACATCAATTAGTTTGCTCCGGAGCCATCCTTCTTGAACTAAGACAAAAACGTGTGAGCCGGGGGCTAAAAAACTGTGAGCTAGCTCACACTAACTCAGCTTAGAGGGAACACTGGCCTCAACCATACGCCTGGTGGAACATCTCTGCCTTGCATAAAATGGAAAGCTGGTTACAGCTTGTGTAATTGTGATGTCCTCATCCCCTTTTAGACTCCAGGGAAATTTGGATGGTCTATAGAGGAACTTGCTGTAATAAACCCGGTGGAAATCGACTCTGAAGACATACGCCGGCAGGCCTTATATTTAAGCCGTGCCAGGTCAGTTGGTTTCTGCGGCGTGAGGTAAACGTTGCAACGGGACGTGAAAACCGTCTTTCTTCTACTGCAGTGAACCAACGGCTTTGTTTGTTTGTTCGTTCCCACTTCACAGGGTTGATAAAGAGGCAGAAGAGAAGAGACAGAAAGCCATCGAAGAGGTAACTTTTCTTTCTGAGGTTCTTGGCTTAGATGGTGTAATGTTATACAGGGTAAAGTAAATGACAGTGGAGCCTATATAACTGGAACATAACCTTAAAATGTGAAGAGTGGGTGGGCGGAAAGAGAGCTGCCCCTCAAAGGGTGGCCTGGCTGGAGGAGTAACAGGGCTTCTTTGGGGCCTGAAAAACTAGAGTTGAGTCCACTAGTATCTTGGAGAGCAGCAAAGTTTTCACAGTAAACTTGCAAGAGTCAAACGTCTCTTTGCCAACGTGGCAGTGGATCAAAACCATGTCGAGAGCAAAGTTAGTTAGTTGCCCAAATCAGAATTCTCTCCCCACCACCACCACCTTTTCCAGCCAGTGCTTAAATTCCACCAGGAACTTCCACCCACTGGCAGGGACACTTCCTAACTAGTTCGGTGGAAAAAAAGCACTTTGTATCTGCTCAGGAGCTCTCTTACCCCTTCTTCCTTGGTATGGGTCTAAGACTGAACCTTGCGAACAGACCTTGGAGCTGCACCCGGATGCAATGAAGCTCTGCTTCTGACTTGTGGCGGAAAGGGCCCTCGAGTCGCAGCCGATATATGGTGACCCCCATGGGGTTTTCAAGGCAAGGGTTGCTGAGAGCGATGAACTAAAAGCTTGAGTTAGTTAGTCTTGCAGTTAAGCCTGCAATTAGCTTCTGATGAGTACACCGAAAACTTGCGTTAGTTAGTCTTACAATTAGTCCACTTAAGTAATGGAATTGTAAAGGTATTTAGTGTATAAACACAAAACTGCCACCAGGGAGTTGATTCACCTCCCCCCCCCCCCCCCCCCCCCCCAACAGACGCACTGCATTTTCTGGACATTTCTGCATCCAATCAGCCATGAACCGCAACGCTGCTCGTGCTGGTTTGGTTCTCTTCTGAGGCTCCTCGGCAAATGCTGTTTCCTCCAGGTCCTATGGCAACCAGCACAACACGACACGCCCACTGGAAGTCTGAATTAATTCCTTGGCAGTCTGTGCGAAGGGGAACGAGGGGCGGCTAAGCAGCGGCAAAGAGATTAACTCTAGGCCTTAATTGTATTGCTCCGACTTAGATGGCCCAGGCTGGCCTGATTTCGGAAGCCAAGCAAGGTCAGCCCTGGTTCGTACCTAGAGGGGAGATCAGGAAGGAAGTCCTGGTTTGCTACACACAGGCAGGCAACAGCAAACCACCTCAGCCTTCCTTGCCTTGGAAACCCTGCGGGTTCCCCGTAGGTTGGCTGCAACTTAGATGACTTTCCACCACCAAAGGGAAATTATTTCTAAGGCTCAGATGTTTTATTAAGAGCCAGTGTGGTGTAGTGGTTAAGTATGTGGACTCTATTCTGGAAGAACCGGGTTTGGTTTCCCCCACGCCTCCACATGCAGCTTGCTGGAGTGACCTTGGGTCAGTCACAAGTTCTCTCAGAGCTGTTCTCTCACGAGCCGTCCTCGAAAGAGCTCTCTCAGCCCCGCCGACCTCACAGGGTGTCTGTTGTGGGGAAGGGAAGGGAAGGGAAAGGAGATTGTAAACTGCTCTGAGACTCCTTTGGGTAGTGAAGGGTGGGGTATAAATCCAATCTCTTCTCCTCTTCTTCTCTTCTTGACATTGGAGGTCTGCAGCTGAATTATCTGGAGGTGTTTTTCATGCTGTGCTTCTAGTCCTGTGGAAGCCCAGAACACCTTGCTTCCTAAAAAGCAAGCTGTGCTGCCCTCCGTCATCTGATTCTCGTTGCCCACCCCCTCGTATTTAAGACAGCACAGCCCCCACCCCACAGTTCTAATGCACATTTTCTAGAGTTAAATAAACTAGGTTCCGCTCAAACTTCCCAAGGACGTTCACCGAGGAGATGTTTAGTGATTTCCATTCTGTGTCCATAGAAAAGTAACACAATTCAGTTTAGATTTAGGTGGGTCGCCGTGTTGGTCTGAAGCAACAGAACCATGTTTGGGCCCAGTGGCACCTTTAAGACCAACAAAGTTTAATTCTGGGCATGAGCTTTCATGTCTGAAGAAGTATGTATGCACACGAAAGCTTACACCCAGAGTTAAACTTTGTCAGTCTTAAAGGTGCCACTGGACTCAAGCAATCTGTTTAGAACTGGAAGTGCAGTGACTTCAGACTTTTCCTATCTCTATGTTCCTTCTAGGAGCTGCGGTGGCTCAAGTGGTTAAGACGCTGAACTGCAGGCTGTGGAAGGTCAGTAGTTCAGCAGTTCGAGACCCGAGTGTGCCACATGATGGAGTGAGCTCCCGTCTCTAGTTCCAGCTCCTGCCAACCTAGCAGTTCGAAAGCAAGAAATTGCAAGTAGATAAATAGGGACCACTTTGGTGGGAAGGTAACAGCGTTCCGTGCGCCTCTGTGTTTAGTCATGCCGGCCACATGACCACAGAAACGTCTTTGGACAGCGCTGGCTCTTCGGCTTTGAAACGGAGATGAGCACCACAACCCTAGAGTCGGATTCGACTGGCTTTCGAGCAAGGGAACCTTTACCTTTACCTATGTTCCTTCTCTCCCCATGGAAGAGTAAAAACATAAGAACATCAGAGAAGCCAGTGTTGGATCAGGCCAATGGCCCATCCAGTCCAACACTCTGTGTCACACAGGGGCCAAAAATACCAGGGGCCATCAGGAGGTCCAGCAGTGAGGCCAGGACACTAGAAGCCCTCCCACTGTTGCGCCCCCCCCCCAGCACCAAGAATACAGAGCTTCAGCAATAAGACAATTCTCCGGTCCCTCACTCAGTACACCAGTTTCAATCCAGACCCTCACTCGCGACTGCCTGCCTAAGGAAAAGTTCAGAACCGCCATTTAAAAGGGAACTTCAAGACCTGATATTGTAGCTTAAGGTTCAGCTCTGGTGTCTTTGAAGGCATGATGGAGAGATCCCTCTGAGCACGTGCAGAGTGTATTTCCCTTGCTAGAACGCATGCACGCGTGCGCACACCCCAGTTCCATGTCCAAAGAGGTGTCCTCTGGACAGGCCTGTTGTTTTTGAAGTTAAGGGAAAGTTTTGGCCCCTGCTTTTTGGCCTGCCACCTCCCGTCTTGTTCTGTCTCAAAGCAGGAGGCGGAAGATGGACCTGGAACAGCTGGAGAAGCTGCGTCTTCTGAACCAGGATCTCCTGCAGAGGCTGAAGGCAAACCAAGAGGAATTCCAGAAACAGCTGCCTGGCCGGGCTCCCTCCCGGCCCCTGCGGTCGAAAAGAGAGACTCCAGAGAACGGATGGGCACCAGATCCCCAAAGGGGGGTATGTCGAGGGACAACTGCACAGTGTCCCGTTTATTTATTTATTTATTTTCTCCCCACTTGGGGACCCAGAGCAGCTTATGCCATTATTTTCCAGTTTATCCCAAAACGGTCCTGTGAGATCAGTTCGGCTGAGAGTGTGTGGTTGACTCAAGGTCACCCAGCCACCTTCCAGGGCAGAGTTGGGATTCGAACCTGGGTCTGCTAGATCAGGGGTGTCGATTCGTCGAACTCATTTGTTATGAGGGCCAGATCTGACATAAATGAGACCTTGTTGGGCCGGGCCACGTGTGCCATAAAATGTAATGCCAGGTAGCAGAGATATTAAACTTTATAAAGGACGCAAACACAGAGGAGGTTTTTTTTTAACTTAAAATAAACACATGCTTAAAGCATTAGCACTCTTGCCATATTTTGTTTATTTAACAGTGTCTGATAACTGACACCTCTTGCTCTGAATTATTGCATCAAAATGTCTGTGCTGTTGCAATCTTGAGTATGCTGTTCAAGTGTGTATCTGTAAGCTGCAAACCTACTTTCGATTTATTGACATTCACCACAGGAGTCTCAAGCTCAGAGTTCTGAGTCTAGGACCCAGGTTAAAACATTAAATGGCTGAGTGATTTAAGAGAGTCTGGCGAAGCAAGCGATGATGCAGCAACAGCAGCAGCAGAACTGGAAGCAGGAGACAGCCAGTTCCACTGCGGGCCTGAGGGAGGCCCTCCGGGGCCTGATCCAGCCCACATTTGACACCCCTGGGCTAGATCCTAGCCCAGTGCTCCAACCACTACAGCATATGGGGAAATCTGCAGTTCATTGTTATAGGAGAAAGTCTGCTCCTGTCCATTACGCTCTTATCCTGCCCTTCCTGTAAGGTGCTTAGTGCCGCATACATAGCCCCCACACCCTATTTATTTATATTTATTTATATTTGAATTTATATCCCACCCTACCCCGAACGCTCAGGGCGGCTAACAAGGGCACCATGTGCCGAGGTTAAAACAGTAAACACATAGTTTAAAAACAATAAAGTACAATAAAGTACAATAACAAATTTACAAACAGATTTAGACAAGATGGGTCGATCTTAACTTCCAAACGACTTCCTACGATCTTATCATCCAAGCCGTGCCCAGGCGCCTCGCTCCCCCCTTGGGGGGCCAGGCAATCATGATGTTAATCCGCCAGAGCATAGGGGGCAAAGGTGGAATAGTGGCGGCGGCGGCTCCTACTCAAAGGCCTGGCGGAAGAGCTCCGTCTTGCAGGCCCTGCGGAACTGAGAGAGGTATTCACATCAACCCTGTGTTGAATATCAACCCTATGAATATCAACCCTATTTATATTCACATCAACCCTATGTTGTCAGAGTGAGTAGCCCAGGCTTTCCCCTAAGCTTCAGGGCGGGGCTGAGATTTAAACCAGGATCTCCTCTGGGCTAGTCGCACACTCTAGCCAGGGGTCCTCCTCAGCCTTTTTGAGTCTGGGGACACCTTTGGAATTCTGGCATGGTGCGGTGGGCGCAGCCGCAAAATGGTCATCGCAGCTTACCTTCAGTCACACAGTGAAGATGAAGGAGAAGAGAAGAGATTGGATTTCTACCCCCCCGCCTTCACTACCAGAAGGAGTCTCAGAGCGGCTTACAAATCTCCTTTCCCTCCCCCTCCCCACAACAGACTCCCCATGAGGTAGGTGGGGCTGAGAGAGCTCTGACAGAAACTGCTCCTGAGAGAGCTTGTGACTGACCCAAGGTCACACCAGCAGCTGCATGTGGAAGAGTGGGGAATCAAACCAAGTTCTCCCAGATTAGAGTTCGTGCACCTAACCACCACACCAAACTGGCACTTTGTGCTGTGATGGCAGCTGCTGCCAAAGCAATATGTGTAAAAATCTGCACATCCAATCAAATCTCTAGTGGCGGACTCTAATCTGGAGAACTGGGTTTGATTCCCCACGCCTCCTCCACGTGAAGCCAGCTGGGTGACCTTGGGTCAGTCACAGTTCTCTCAGAGCTCTCTCAGCCCCACCTACTTCACAAGCAGTGTTCCCTCTAAGCTGAGTCAGTGTGAGCTAGCTCACAGTTTTTTAGCCCCGGCTCACACATTTTTGTCTTAGCTCAGGAAGGATGGCTCCAGAGCAAACTAATTTATGCAGCGGCCAAATGGCTGACTCACAACTTTAATGCCGGTAGCTCTACAAAGTAGAATTTTTGCTCACAAGACTCCACGGCTAAGAGGGAGCATTGCTCACTGGGTGTCTGTTGTGGGGAGAGGAAGGGAAGGGGATTGTAAGACACTCAGAGACTCCTTTGGGTAGTGAAGGGCGCGGTATAAAAGCAACTCTTCTTCTTCTGGCCCTGCCCACTGTTTCTAGAAACACTCGGCAGGGTCCAGAAAAGGTGTCAGCAGGTGGTGTGCAGTGTTCCCTCTAAGCTGAGTTAGTGTGAGCTAGCTCACAGGTTTTGAGCCTCCAGCTCACACATTTTTGCCTCAGCTCAGGAAGGAGGGCTCCAGAGCAAGCTAATTTATGCACTAGCCAAATCGCTTGCTCACGACTTTAATGCCAGGAGCTCAAAGTAGGATTTTTGCTCACAGGACTTCACAGCTTAGAGGGAACGTTGGTGGTGTGGCACCATATTGGGGCCTGATGCTCTAGCCATTGCCCCGTGCTGGTTCTTTTGGAGGTGTAGGAAGCCAACACGTATTTGGAAAAAACTCCGGCTTCTGTTCCCATTCCAGAAAGAGAACAATGATCGGGCTGCTGAAGAGTTCGCTAGCATTGTGATGGGGGTGTCCAGGGAGGCAGGGCCCCAACTGGCAAGACCTGACCTCAGACCCCCCTTGAAACCCACAACATCCCGCAAGGAGGAAGAACAGGAAACAACACACCAAGGGGGTCAGCACCCAGACTCCGATTGGACTGAGAAGACTTCTGTACCATCGGCAACGGAGGGAGAATCCTCCCGAGTAGCTGGCAAAACAGTGAAAAAATGCAACTCTGTGGGTGACTCAGAGAGGAAATCCGTTCCTGCGAGCCAAACAGACTCTGAGACGCACCCTGCACATTTGCAAAGGCCGAGGGCCGGAGTGGAGCCAAACCGGGCGCAAGAAGCCAAAGAGAGCCACGGGCCGAGAGCATCGGCTCGGATGCCGCGGGCTCCCAAATCGATCCTGCTCACCCCTCAGTGCAAGGAAGCCAAAGAGAAAATGAAGGTGGGTGTTTGCAGTTCTCTCCTTTACCAGCCTTATCTTGGTGGTGGCGGGACGTGTGTCGAGTCAAAGCCAACTTGTATGGCAACCCGGTAGGGTTTTGCAGGCAAGCGGCGTTCAGAGGTGGTTTGCCATTGCCTGCCTCTGTGTAACAACCCTGGGCTTCCTGGGCAGACTCCTGTCCGAATACTAGCCAGGGGCAACCCAGCTTTGATTCCAAGATCTGGCAAGGTCAGTTGGCCTGGCTTATCTGTGTCAGGGCAGCCTTCTTTTAAGGGTTGAAAAGGAGCAAAATTGGCAACTGGGAATTCTTAAGCTGAATCGTCGCCATCGTGCTTCCGTTGCCCCCTCCACACCCCGCCCCAAAACTTACTGCTTTCTGCAGACCCAAGGTCTCCTCAGCACAGAACTTGTAAGTTCTTGTTTGGGAAAAGGTCCTGCCCTGTAGGCCAAGAGGGTGACGTTTTCTCTTGCAGAAGGAGGCCGGGCGTGTGACGTTTGTGTCTGACCCTGAAGAATACACTCTCCCTGCGGACGAGTGGTCGGTTCGTCCTTTCCTGGGGTACGACTGGATCGCAGGTGTGGCCGCTTTATCTGTTTGGAGCAGAAGGGGTTCCAGATGAGCTATGGCGTCTGGCAGAGTTTGTCCCCTGAAAGTGGTTCATGCAGATTGATTTCTGCAGGCTGCAGTGGTCTTGGGGGAATATTTGTTTGATTTATCTGCTTCTGCTCATATCGTCTATAGCCCTGAGCGCCTTTCTCACTGAGACTCAAGGCAGACAACAAAATAAGAACATAGGAACGTAAGAGAAGCCAGTGTTGGATCAGGTCAAAGGCCCATCCAGTTCAACACTCTCGTGTCCCACAGTGGCCTAAAATACCAGGTGCCACCAGGAGGTCCAGCAGTGGGGCCAGGACACTAGAAGCCCTCCCACTCTTGCCCCCCCCCCAGCACCAAGAATACAGAGCATCCCTGGCCCCAGCCTGGGAGTTCCTGTCTATACCTTGTGGCTAATAGCCACCGATGGACCTCTGCTCCATATGCTTATCTAATTCCCTCTTGAAGCCGTCCATGCTTGTAGCCACCGCCACCTCCTGTGGCAGTGAATTCCATGTGTGAATCACTCTTTGGGTGAAAAAGGACTTCCTTTTATCCGTTCTAACCCGACCACTCAGCAATTTCATGGAGTGCCCACGAGTTCTTGTATTGTGAGAAAGGGAGAAAAGTACCTCTTTCTCTACCTGCTCTATCCCATGCATGATCTTATAAACCTCGATCATGTCACCTCTCGGCCGTCGTTTCTCCAAGCTAAAGAGCCCCAAGCGCTTTAACCTTTCTTCATAGGGAAAGTGTTCCAACCCTTTGATCATTCTAGTTGCCCTTTTCTGTAATATCCTTTCTGAGGTGTGGTGACCAGAACTGTACACAGTACTCCAAATGAGGTCGCACCATTTATACATTGATTAATATTTTTTTAAAATTCCACCAGAGAGCATAAAGACAACCAATAAACAATGCAATAAGAGTAGGACGAGAGAACTGGAAAACAACGCAAACCGGAAGATGTCTTAAGGCATGACATACCCTGAGCCGGCCGTGGCTGGGAAGGCAGGGTAGAAATTTAATAAATTAAATCAAATCAAATCATACCAGTATGCAGAAGAAAACCTGGAGTCCAGAAGATGATTCACAGTAGGTAAATGGAATCTGTTCCAGGCCGGGGTGAATATTGGCTCCCTGGGAGAAGCAGGATTTATATAGACTTTTGGTCTGGCTCAGCAGGGGCATTTTTGTGGTCTGACCTGTCTCGGACCCCCCTTCCCTTCTCTTCCCAGGTTTGCTAGACATGGACTCGTCAGTGTCAGAGAAACCAGAGCAGTATTTTTCTGAGCTGCAGGACTTCCGGCGGGTGAACAGAGATGCTTGCATCTACGACGAATGCTTATGGTGAGAGTGAGGCGCAAAGGCAGAAGTCCCCCCGGGGGGGTGGGCCTCGTGCATCCGGGCCAGAAGGAGAAACTAAACTCCTGGAAGTTAAGATCCCCAGAGGGAGGCCAAGCTCTGTATGCCCCACCCCGATCCTCTGAAGTGAAGTGGGTTGTCACCAATGTTCCCTCTAAGCTGTGGAGTCTTGTGAGCAAAAATTCTACTTTGTGAGCTACTGGCATTAAAGTTGCGAGCAAGTGATTTGGCTACTATATGAATTAGTTTGCTCTGGAGCCATCCCTTCCTGAGCTAAAACAAAAATGTGTGAGCTGGAGGCTAAAAAACTGTGAGCTAGCTCACACTAACTCAGCTTAGAGGGAACACTGGTTGTCACTAGAAACAGGGCTTTCTTGGTGTTGGCACCACAACTGTGAGCCGCCCTGAGCCCGTTCGCGGGGGAGGGTGGGATAGGAATGTAACAATAAATAAAATAAATAAATAAACTTCTTGAGCACCACATAAAAACGTAGCTGTTTTTACTGACATTCTAACTGATCCATGTCTATTAGTATTTTGTGTATTTGATATTTTTTTAAGAACTAAAAGAAAGCTACCAAAAAGAAGACGTTAAAGACATTACAGTATAATAATATGTCTGATCATCAGTAAATAAAGGAAACTTACATAAAAAGAGAATTATTATTCAGAGATACAAGAGAAATGCCATCTTAAATCGTTATCCAGTTTGAACTGGGGGGGGAGCTGATATTTTTTTAAAAGAATTAAAAGAAAGCTACCAAAAATAAGAAGACATTACAGTATAATAATATGTTTTATATCAGTAAATAAAGGGAACATACATAAAAATAATTATTAATCAGAGGTACAATTGAAATGCCATCTTAAATTGTTATCCAGTTTGAACCGGGGGGGAGTTGATATTTTTTTAAAAAAGAATTAAAGCTACCAAAAATAAGAAGACATTACAGTATAATAATATGTTTTATATCAGTGAATGAGGGAAACATACATAAAAAAGAGAATTATTAATCAGAGGTACAAGAGAAATGCCATCTTAAATCATTATCCAGTTTGACCTGGGGGGGTGAGTTGATTTTTTTAAAAAAGAATTAAAAGAAAGCTACCGAAAAATTATTTATTTATTTATTATTACAGTTCTATCCCGCCCTCCCCCGCGAACAGGCTCAGGGCAGCTCACATTCAGGGGCAACGTGGGCCCAGGCATATGAAACATATAAAAACAAGATAAAACAATCCATATTACAATTAAAGTGCTCGGAACATATCAAAAGAAGACATTACAGTATAATAATATGTTTTGTATCCATAAAGAAAGGAAACACACATAAAAAAGAGAATTATTAATCAGAGATACAAGAGAAATGCAATCTTAAATTGTTACCCCATTTGAACCATTCTAGCCGTCGAGGCTGTGTGACAGGGATCCTCCGTCAATTTCCCCGCTGTTATCTTTGATTCTGAGTAGGCCAATCATTGAACTCTGCTGACTTTTTACAGCCATTCGTGTTTTCGGCTGCATTTCTTTGTATTTCCAGTGTCTAGCACACATGGTTTATATTTCTTTCCCTCTGGTGGTGCCTGGTTATTTTCACAGCCAAGAGTTGTTTGGTCATGTTAAGATATGGTATGTTTTATTTTATGTTTCCATGTTGTAGTTTTGTTCTTTTTTATTAACCGTTCTTACTGATGAATAATGCAGCTGTTCAAAACTGTAGCTCAGGTTGCATGGCAACTTTTCAAAAAATGGAAAGAAGAGGGTGGTGTGCAGAACAGGATTAAGGGTACAGGTCTGCGTTGCGTTGGTACTCCAGGACGAGGGGCAAATATCGCCTCTGTGAGGGTCAGGGATACAGTGTTCATGTACGCCACTGGCATAAATTATGCAAATGGAGCCGATGTGCTTATTTTCTCAATTTATTCTGAAAATCCTTCTTTGCATAATAATCTGCCTTTGCTTGGGATACAAAGCTGCTTTCCGTGGAGTTGATCTTTGGTCCCTCTAGACTGAGAACTGTTGTCTCGGCCAAGCAGTGGTTCTCCGCGGTAGGGAAATGTCTTTTCTCAAGATCCTTTAACTAGAAATGCGGAGGACTGAGCCTGGGGCCACCTGTGTGTGCAGAACATGCTACCAGTTCACTCAGGTTCCTTCCCCCGACACTGGCCCTGACCCTCAGTCCTTTAGGGAGCGGGGTCCTTGCACCTTTTCGTTTCCCAGAGTTCAGTGCAAAGCATCAGTAGTGCTGGAGAACTCAGAACGATCCTCTGGCTGTTCATTTCCTCCACAGGTCAGAGGCACTGGGCTCCTCGGTTCTCGGTCAAGGATCAGAGGTGGAATCAACTTCCCATCAATGTACGGTCAGGCTCCCTCTTCTCCGTGGCCCACAAAGGGTTCCTTGCATGCTGTGAACCAGCAGGCCCTCTGACCCCCAGTGCCAAAAAGACACTCCACCCTGTGTCCGAAGCACCAAGAATACAGAGCCAGTTTGGTGTCGTGGTTAAGTGCGCGGACTCTAATCTGGGTGAACCGGGTTTGATTCCCCCACTCCTCAACTTGCACCTGCTGGATGACCTTGGGCAAGCCATAGTTCTGGCACAGCTGTTCTTGAAAAAGAGCAGTTTCTGTCAGAGCTCTCTCAGCCCCACCTGCCTCACAGGGTGTCTGTTGTGGGGAGGGGGAGGGAAAGGAGTTTGTAAGCCGCTCTGAGACTCCTCTGGGTAGTGAAGGGCGGGGTATAAATCCAATCTCTTCTTCTTCTTCATTTCTTCTGGGGAGGGAGGAGGCCCGTGCCGATGTAGCCGTCGTACCACCTGGCCACTGCATGTCCTGATCCGCCATCCTCAGGCCAGGGCAATGTCCCTGCTTTTGGGATTCACTCGACACCTTTCAGGCCCCAAGATCTGCGACCCGATATACTCTTCTGTACCCGGCCCAGCCTGCTGCAGTTTTTGGGTGTCTCTTGCAGGCGTCTTCTGCTACCGCTTAAACAAGCGACTCTTTGCTGTGCCCATGGGTTCAGAGTCGGCCTGTCCCATCTGCAAAACCTTGAGGACTCAGAAGCCGCCGGAAACGCTGGTGGAACCAGCCTTCGTCAGGTGAGTACGAACTCAGCAGGTGTTTGCTTTGCTTCTGGTGCTACCCAAGAGGGGGGGGGGCGCGAGCTGGTACAGTCTTGGTTTGCGCCGAGCAATGTCGCCGCTCCCCTGAGCGCTTTGCCTTTTCTTACTCTCAGTGTAAATGCTTAGTAGGAAATCACTGTCGAGAGGATCACGGCGGAATGAAGAACTGCACTTGCCTTGTTGTGATCTAATTCATCCCTAAATGTGCTTGTCAGTGCCTCTTGCGTGTCCTGTTTGTTGCAGGGTTAGCATCCCGCGATCCACCCTCCTCCCAGCGTACAAGCACAAAATCCATCGCAGGAAAAGCTATGAGCCAGCAGATGACCTGGCATTGCCATCGGTGAGTGTTCTGGCTTCGACTAAGAGCATAATTTGTAATTAATTTATTGTATATTTTAACCTGCTGTTCACCACCTTGAGCCCTTTGGGGAACTGCGGTCTATAAATTTAATAAATAAGAATAAGAAGAACTTAATAGAAGCCATGTTGGATCAGGCCAACTGCCCATCCAGTCTGATACTCTCCATCATGCAATGGCCAAAAAACCAGGTGCCATCAGGAGGTCCACCAGCAGAGCCAGAACTCCAGAAGCCCTCCCACTGTGGCCCCCCAAGCACCAAGAATACAGAGCATCACTGCCACAGACATAAGAACATGAGAAAATGCATGCTGGATCAGGCCAGTGGCCCATCCAGTCCAACACTCTGTGTCACACAGTGCCCCAAATCCAGGTGCCATCGGGAGGTCCACCAGCAGGGCTAGAACCCTCTCACTGTTGCCCCCCAAGCACCATGAATACAGAGCATCACTGCCACAGACATAAGAATTTAAGAGAAGCCATGTTGGATGAAGCCAATGGCCCATCCAGTCCAACACTCTGTGTTTCACAGTCCTCCAAACCCAGGTGCTATCAGGAGGTCCACCAGCAGGGCTAGAACTCCAGAAGCCCTCCCACTGTTGCCCCCCAAGCACCAAGAATACAGAGCATCACTGCCACAGACTGAGTGTTCCATTTACACCTTGTGGCTAATAGCCACTGATGGGCCTCTGCTCCAGATGTTTATCCAGTCCCCTCTTGAAGCTGTCTGTGCCTGTAGCTGCCACCACTTCTTGTGGCACTGAATTCCACATGTTAATTCTGTTTTGGCAGAGGCTGGTCAGAAGGGGTTGGAGGGAAGTGGGGGGCAGATTTCCTCCATGACTTTCCCCTGGAAATCTGGTGCCTCGTGCCCTGTTTGTGTGCTTCCAAACTGCATTGGCTGCTCAGTGTTGGAGACAGGATGCCGGGCTCGTTGAACCCACCTTAGTCCACTTGAGTAAGTTCTCGGCCGCTGGTTTCGAGGGGTTCATCCACAGCACCAGGCCCTCCCTTCTGTTCCCACAGCACTGCCTGGCCGGCTGGGAGAACCCCGTCCAAACTTTCAGCTCTACCCTGAGCAGCCTCGACCTCCGAACTACCCTGGCTGCCGAATCTTCCGGCCATTTGGATTGGGTAAGAACGCAGCATACATGATGCAGATATGCAGGTATGCCTGATATTGTCCAGGTTGCAGACAATGCTCCCTCTAAGCAAGAATTCTATTTTGTGAGCTCCTGACATTCAAGTTGTGAGTGAGCGATTTGGCCGCTGCATAACTTAGTTTGCTCTGGAGCCATCCTTTCTGAGCGAAGGCAAAAATGTGTGAGCAGGAGGCTAAAAAAACTGTGAGCTAGCTCACACTCACTCAGCTCAGAGGTAACAGTGGTTGCAGAATGCAGGTAGTAGAACCTGGTATTATGCAGGTTGTGAAATTTTATTGACACAGTTGTAGGATTTCTGCAAGGAAGGTTTTAAAATTGTTAATGGAGGAGGAAAGTAAGGGGGCAAGTTTGATTTACTGGCATTTAAAAGATTGCAGCTTTGGTGCCAATTAAAACGCAGTTTTATGTATTGCATCTTTATTCTACGTTTTTTAAAAATACTTGTTTGATACATGGTGCCTATGGCCCCTTCTAATCAACTAACAGCCCTGTGAGGTAGGCAAGGCAGACAGAAAGAAAGAGGGTGGCTAGAAGTCATCTAGTGAGTTTCTTTTTTAATTTTTTAAATTATTTTTTGGCAGTGTGTGTGTGTGTGTGTGTGTGTGTGTTTGGCATTGTGTGTGTGCGTGTGTGCGCGCTTGCGTGCCTGGAAGTCATGCTGGCTTCTGTTGGTCCCTAGTGGGTCTTGGATGTTTCAGAGAGATGGCTTAGCTATTGCTTGCCTCTGCATCCCAGCCCTGGTATTCCATCCAAGTCCTAGCCAGGGTTGGCCCTGCTTAGCTTCCGAGTTCTGGCAAAACCGGGCTTGCCTGGGCTATCCAGGTCAGGGCTAGTGAGTCTCTTCACTGAGTAGGAGTCTGAACCTGGGTTAGCCTGGTCCTAACTCTGTCACTGTAACCACACTGACACCATGCTGGCTGTATAGTATTCCCTAAGCCTGCCTCCAGGATCACGATGCCCATTTTATTTCACCCCCATCTTCCAGAATTCGGTGTCTAGAGTATCAGGCAAAACCAAGACGGATGACCTCCTCAACCTTTCCCGTGTGACAGCATTCGAACTCAACAACATGTCTCGTCTGTTGCGCCACCGGAAGCTGCCTGGCCACACGGCACCTTTCCGTTAGAGCAGTTCCATCTTTCTCCCCTCCCAAGGGGGGATCAGGAAGCCTGGAATTAAGGACCGGGACGGCGTCTGCGCCTGAAACTGAACAGCCCACCAGCCCACCTCTCAGCAGAGCAGCGTTCAAGAAAAGATGGGGTTGTAAACCAAAGTCTCTGTTTGGTCCACAAAGCACAGGGCATTCACAGACAATTTAAAAGAGGGTTTATTTTTTCCCCCAGTGTACTTGGGCGGGGAGGGGGTTTAAAATGGTTTTGAATAAAAATGGTTTTACTCACTTCTGGATGGCTAAGGAAACACTGAATGCTCGTGGGTTTCCAGTAGGAGGGAGTTCCACAAGACCAAGGCTACTGTTTGAGAAAGTCTTGCTCTCAAGAGGGAGTCGGGTCTTTCCCTGAAGACTTAGGCAAGCCCGGGAACCACTGCTTCCATCCCCAAACTGTAGAAACAACTGGCCTCGGTGATGTTCTTAAGGATGTTCGTGAATTTTTCCTGGAATGCCAGCTGCTGATTGGCTCCTTCCTTGTGGGGTTGCCATGGCAGCATCCTCCCTTGCAGCAATCCGTGTGTAGACTTGTTGCTCCAACAGAATTCTGAGTCACAGATCTGGACCCTTCTCTGTCCCAGAGCAGATGAGGTGGCTGCTGGCGATCTGGCCGCTCGTGAGCTCCAGACTTTGGCTCCTGGGCCGCTTCGGCTGTTCCGGCTTACAAGCGGATGTCGGTAAAGACACACACACACACACACACACACCGGTCTGCCACAGGAACCAGTTGTGTCTCTCTGATGCTGCAAGAGGTCTGAGACCTTGCAGTGGGGAAAGGGGCGTTGCTCTGGGAGGGCAGGAAGCCCCCCGATGGGCCAGTCACAGGTAGACTGCCTCTAAATGTGGAGGCCGAACGGCTGGGGGGCTCTGAGTTTTATTTCATGGACCGAAACCCCTGTTGTTGTTTTGTGGGGGGGGGGAACTTGTTATAAAAATATCAGAACGGTGGAGGCTTGCTGCCTTTTCAGGGGGAGGGGGGGCGTTTGTTTTTCCTGGCTGGTGGATGGGCAGACATTCAAGGGGGAGGGAGGCTTTACCTGCTGAATTTCCGCCTGCCACATAGCTATCCAGTACATTTTTCGCCCCCACTCCTAATGCTTCTCCAGTGCAGGAGGCCCTCTGGGAGATGGGGGGGATGATTTATACATGCAGTTGCCTAGCAGCAGAAGGATGGGCTTCCTGAAACCTCCTTGGGTGGTGTGTCAAGTAGGCAGGGAAGTCTCCTGGGGGGGTTGCTAGGTGCCTAGGGTTGCTAGGTCCCTAGAGAGTGTTGCCAACTTTGAGTTAAGAAATTCCTGGAGATTTGGGGGTGGAGCTTGGGGAGAGACCTCAGGAGGGTACAATGCCACAGAGTCCACCCTCCAAAGAAGCCAGTTTCTCCAGGGGGTCAGTCTGTTTCCATAGTCTAGAGACCAGTTGTTATTCTAGGAGATCACCAGTGTGCAGAATGCTACTTCCTTTCTCTTCCCCCCAGAGAGAGCAGTCTGGGGACTGTTCAAGGCACATCCATCTCAACTGCTGGCTGAGGCCGCGGCTCAGTGGCAGAGCCTCTGCTTGGCAGGCAGAAGGTCCCAGGTTCAATCCCTGCCATCTCCAATTAAAAAGGACCGGGCAGGAGGTGATGGGAAAGACCTCTGCCTGAGACCCTGGAGAGCTGTAAAGAGGGGCTGTGGCTCAGTGGCAGAGAATCTGCTTGGCAGGCAGAAGGTCCCAGGTTCAATCCCTGCCATCTCCAGTTAAAAAGGATTGGGTAGGAGGTGATGGGAAAGACCTCCGCCTGAGACCTTGGAGAGCGGCTGCCAGTCTGAGTAGACAAGACTAACTTTGCTGGACCGAGGGTCTGATTCAATATCAGGCAGTTACGTGTGACGTGGCCAACCACTTTGGGGGTCAGGCAGCAATTCATCTCCAGGCCAGTTTGGCCAGTGATCCTGGAGGTATTTTGCCATCTTCTGGGCAGGGAGCAGGGGTCACTGGGTGTGTGTGCGTGGAGAGGAGTATAAATGAATTTCCTGCCTTGTGCAGGGGGTTGGACTAGATGACACTGGAGGTCCCTTCCAACTCTGTGATTCTGTGGATGATGCCAGTGGGAATCCGGGGGGGGGGAGGCAGTCCTCTTCTGCTGCATTCCCCCCCGCCGCCACTTTCAGGGGGGTGCAGGATCTGAGGCCAAGGCGCCGTGCGAAGTGTTTTACTCTCCGCAGGGGGAAATCGCATCCACTGGAGCAACTGGCAGCCGTGGATCTGTATGTGCAACCTGCAAAAACAAGCCCGCATCCGGCACTTGGTGGCCTGGGCAGCCAATCTCCCCCTCCCCCTCAAGGCCAGGGAGTTTTGGGAGGAGAGGCCCTGCTCTCTGCAGGAGTGCGTCACGTGCAGGCCAGAGGAGTGTCCCGAAGACTCCGAGAGGTCCAGTCTGGATCCGCCATTCGAGAGTTTCCCGCCGGCTGACCCCCAGGACTCTGAAATTCCTCTTCCGCCCAGCATGGACTCTGAGTCGTACGAGAGTCTCCCGGTGGTGGACGACTTGGGAGAAGAGTAGGGGGCCCATGGAGGTGGTGCTGGGGGCCACGATCCAGAAACCTCTCGGCTCTGCTGCCGCCGCTGCCTGTCTGCATTAATGGGGCCAAGCAGCGGCCAGAGAGCAAAAGAAGCCTGCAGCAACAGGCGTGACAAAGCGAAGGTGGCAGAGGAGATTGGGACTCCGAGCCCTTGCCCGCTGCGCCAGCCCCAAAAGCTACTCCACCACCACTTCGGCTGGGTGCCAATAAAGTTACAAAGCAATGCAGTGACGTGGCTTATTTTTGGCTCGGTTTCTAGCCTTCCCTGATCCCAAGGTGTGGGCTTCACTGCAGCTAACATTCACGTGGAAATAACACACACACACACACACCGCTCCAAATGCCCGGGAGGACATTAAAATGCACGCTTAGAATCATGCTGGACTGCCATGGATCACGAGATGGCCCAAATAAAGAGGTTTCTGGGTGTTTTCTGGTTCTGATTCCAGCCAGTGGGATTTCTGCAGTGTAAAGGAATTCCACCAGCCAGTCACCAATTATTCTTGCTTGGTACAGACTCAGAAGGCGACTCCAGTCAGAAGAGCCTTGAGCGACCCGCCTCAAAAGGAAGAAAGGAACGTAAGTCTTCCTGTGTGCATTTGTGACGGCAGGAAGGTGGAGGCTCAGTCTTTTAAAAAATATATATCTGCAGCAGAGGCAGTTGTTCGCTTTCCTTCTGTCCCATAAGCGACAATAATGCTGCATAAACTCTCTTCGGGGATGTAAACCCAAACATTTTAACAACACCCCTTTTAGGCAGGCCAGTGTTGTGGCCTCCAATTAAAGAGTTGGCTGCTCAGCTAAATCAAACTCATAAGCAGCAGGGGTAAACTAAGCACTGTGATTTAAGAAGGATCTAGACAAGCTGGAACGTGTCCAGAGGAGGGCAGCGAAGAGGGTGAGGGTTCTGGAGACCAAGTCCTATGAGGAAAGGTTGAAGGAGCTGGGTGTGCTTAGCTTGGAGAGGAGACGACTGAGAGGGGATACGATAACCATCTTCAAGCCCTTGAAGGGCTGTCCTATAGAGGATGGTGCGGAGCTGTTTTCTGTTGCCTCAGAAGGTCGGACCAGAACCAACGGGTTGAAATTAAATCAGAAGAGTTTTTGGTTAAACATTAGGAAGAACTTCCTGACAGAGCCAGTGGAACAGGCTTCCTCGGGAGGTGGCGGGCTCTCCTTCTTTGGAGGTTTTCAAGCAGAGACCAGGTGGCCATCTGTCAGCAATGCTGATTCTGTGAACTTCGGCAGATCACGAGAGGGAGGGCAGGAAGGGTTGCCTCAGTGCTTAGTTCTCGTGGCCCTCTCTGACACGCCCAGGGGGATGCCAGTCGACACTTTGGGGTCCGGAAGCCATTTTTCTGGAGGCTTTTTGTCATCATCTGGGCATGGGACAGGGGTCACTGGGGGTGGGGGAGGTATTTGTGAATTTCCTGCATTGTGCAGGGGGTTGGACTAGATGACCCTGGAGGTCCCTTCCAACTCTATGATTCTAAGTTCAATTTGTTTTAAGGCAAATAGAATTATTAGGTTTTTCATCCCACCAAAGTGTGGTGGGATGGATTAAAAATGAAGTAAGCCCAATACGAACATCTACACTCCTATTCTCAAACTACCCTGAGAGGCAGATTAGGCTGAGCGAGGCAGTGCCCCAAGGTCAAGTGGTAAGTGTCATGGCTGGGCGGGAATTTTATTCCAGATCTCTTCATTCCAACCACGACCCCACACTGTCTCTCACATAGCTTTAAAAACAGTTACAAGTTAAAGACCACTATTTTTGGGGTAACTGAACTTCACCAGTCTCCATCAGGGTCATTCAGGGTGTTTTTAGCATTCTCAAATTGAGAGGGATGACACACAAGAGCCCTGTCGAGATACAATCTGACAGCATCACAATCAGAAAGCTGTGTGTTTTGGAGGTTTAGATAAAACAGACCCCTGCCCAAGAGCAAAACTCCTCTTTCCATACTCAAATATCACGTCGGCCCTTTCTGCACTCTAGTCCTGTGTCCTCCAAGCAATTATGCACTAAAATAAAATTCAACCTTTTAAATCCAGGTTTTTCCCCTTCCATTCTGCATGAAAATCGAGTTCAACCTTGTTTTTCCCCCATTCTAAATTATATTCCCTCCCTTCAGTGGTCAGCCCAGTTTCAGCCTCCTGTTGCCCCGGGGCTATTTGGATGCTGTTTTGCCGTGGACTTAAATTGCCTTGACTTGAACACAAAGAAAATCCGGAGTGGCAGGCAAATGTGGAAAGGACTCAATACAAGCTAGAGCACAGTTAAGAACATAAGAATGTAAGAGAGGCCAGTGTTGGATCAGGCCAATGGCCCATCTAGTCCAACACTCTGTCACACAGTGGCCAAAAATACCAGGTGCCATCAGGAGGTCCAGCAGTGGGGCCAGGACACTAGGAGCCCTCCCACTGTTGCCCCCCCTCCGCAAGTACCAAGGATACAGAGCATCACTTGCCCCAGACTGAGAGCTAATAGCCACTGATGGACTTCTGCTCCATATGCTTATCCAATTCCCTCTTGAAGCCGCCCATGCTTGTAGCTGCCACCGCCTCCTGTGGCAGTGAATTCCATGTGTGAATCACTCTTTGGGTGAAGAAGGACTTCCT